AGCCATTGTCATGGGGCAGGACTTCCCCATGTGAGTGTGGGAGTGGGGCACATTCGGATCAGGTTCCTCCACCCCAGGCCTGTGGGGGTTGTGCCTGTTGGGGGACAAGCCCTGGACCTCAACACAGGCCAGGTCACATTCCGCTCAGCCTGGGACCGTCCTCTGGGCACGGCTGAGCCGCCTCTGTCCTGGTCCCAGGACCCTCAGCTCACTCCCAGGGCAGGGACACGAGGTCCAGGCGAGGCCACTGCCCACCTGTCCACAGAGGCCAGGCCCAGAGTCCCCTGCAGTTTGGGGAAGGGCCTTGAAAGAGGCTGAGGCAGGACAGGCTAGGGTGGGGGACCAACAGGGACAGCCGCCACGTTGGAGGGAGCCGAGACTGTGACAAGGGGCACCCCAAGTCCCTGGGCAGGAGAGGCTGCCCTCACAGATGGGGGAGGCCATCACCTGGCAGGGCCTCTGGCTCCTGGACACCCCGAACGCATCCGCACTCGGTCGCTTCCACTTTGTTGCAAACGCGGCTCAGGCACCGCTTGGACGTCATGTCCCACGGGGTCTGAAGTCTGGAATTCCATCTGCTGCAGTCCAGCACGACCACCTGCCCTGGTTGGGGTTTGGGGACACGTCCCACGGGAACTGAGGGACCAAGAAGTCCTGTCCCTTCAGTCCTTGGGTCTGTGTGGGAAGGCCTTGGCTTGTCCCAATACCCTGGGGCCTCCAGAACCTATCAGGCACAGCCCTGGCTGCCCCCCTGCTCAGCCATCGCAATGTCCTGCTGTTGGAATGACCCCGCGGACTGCAGGAGTGCCCGGGAGCAAGCGCGGGCTCTTTGCATTGATCCCGGCCCACGAGTCTCCCACACAGCAGGTACTCAAGTGCCTGGTGAGTGCTCACTGCCCAGTGGGTAAACGTGGGTTGGGGCCAGCCACGTGGGGAGAGGCTGTGCCAGCACCCAGGACAGAAGCAGCCACGTCCCTGACAGCAGGACCTCCAAAGACGCAGTGTCCAGGCTGCGGTCAGGCCAGACCCTGCCTGGGTCACTTGGTCACATTTGCTCACTCAGCCTTACGATGACCTCGGAGTGACAAAATGGTTCCTCCGACCTAGTGGGGCTCCTGCCAGGAGTGGGCCCTGGTGGTTGGGACATTCCCTCACACTCAGCTCAGGCTGGAGATGGCTAGAGGCAGCACAGGGCAGCTGAGGCGATGTGGACCAGGCCGGCCCCCAGCCCGTGTCACCAGTAACCTCAGCAATGGCTGTGCGCGGTGGCTGCTCCCTCTACTCCTCCAGCTGGAGGGCGGCCAGCTCCCTCCCGGGGGACTGAGGGT